GCCTTTGGAGACACAATGGCGCTTTGTTTCTGTAAATTACAGAGCGCTGCTGACATTATCAAAATAACACGACGCGCGCCCCCACGTGTCGTTCTGTTCCCTGCGAGCCCGTGAGGGGCGTTGCCGTCGCCTCAAAGGCTCTTCTACGAGGGGCGTTCAACCAACGTCATGCGACGCCCTGGAATGTCCACTTTTTATCTGAATCTGAATAATTCTCCTACATTGGAAAGTTGTCATCTGTTTCCAGTGGTTCTTCCTTCTGCCGCATCTCTTTAGACAGGAAACTGCAGATCAATTTTTAAAATACGAATAGAGCCATGTCCTTGTGCAGTCCACTTTGTAAAGGGTGCGGTCACACCAGGCTTTATCCAGAAATCGGTAGAAAAATATCGTCTGCAAAACAACGAATGTCGACCTGGGCAAATTCAGCGAGTTTATTGCGCGTAAAGAGTATAATATTAGTTTATGTAAAAATTATAATTATTTATAATTAATTAAAATCCATTGAAGTATGAATGCATGCGCCGTGTATTAAATGTTGTGCAAAAATCCGGAGATTCGCAAATTGGGACTAGTCCAGCCCAGCGTTTCATTACAACCGAACATCACTACTTATAGCTGATAACACTGAACTAAAATAAATGAAAGGTAAAAGCAATGTTTTTAGTCTGTCAAGACGAAGACACTTGACCATCCTGCAGGTACCGCAGATCTGCACGGCCGTCATTTGATTTGCGAACGAAATTCGCTCGATGAAAACTGTTCGTCAATGGAAAATGCTTTTCCGTTTAATTCCAATGAAGAAATATTGTAATGGCTTCCGACTCCAAGAAAAATCACCAAATGTTTTTCCACGCACTTTAGAATACTGTAAAATAATAAAAATGAGAACACTGATACATAGTTTTTACCTGTAAACTACAACATAAGAGTCAGATCAAGTGTTTACAGAAGCTGTTGTAATTACAGTATGAACATCAGAACTACTTAAGCAAAAACTGAGCCATTGTCTTTATTAAAACCATAATTATTGTATGGAATGAAAATAATGATATTAAAAAACGAAATGTATTTCGGAAATAGCTGCTGCACTGTGTACCTCAGGGGCAAGGTTTGTCTCAGGTTAACAGAAGTAAATACCCTGTAAAACGGTGAATAGATGGAATAATAATTAAATTAAGTTTAATTCATTTTTTAGTGTGCACGACAACAGCCAGATAAGGCCAATTACAGCCTAGCACTGGACGACGGTACAGGATAGAATTCGATTATTAAACACACCGAGTAAACTCGACATGGACCAACTCCATTACCACGTGACACAGGACTCACAAATGACAAAGGGGACGAATGTCATGAACTGGTCCGATGGAGTAAGGAGGAGCTCGAAGAAGCTGCGAGGTTTTTAACGCACGCGAAAGACAACAGAATTCAGTGCTCAGAATTGCAGAACACGAGGCATGGAAACAACACACGCACTTACGGCGGTTTGGAACAGGAAGATACGACAGAACTGTGGAATCAAGGAACTCAGACCGAGAGAAGAACTCTGGACATGTTAATACAAAATAAGAAAGACTAAATTGGCTTACTGATACGAGTAGCAATTCAGTAGGACAGGAATGTAATGAACGAAATTAAATACAAAAATTTAGCGAATGTGGAACATGCAATGTCTTGTCATGCCGTCAATCACTGGAACCGCAAAAAGTGTGACTGAGGGGCTCAAGGAATACCTGGGAACGATACCACGAAAGCTTGTAATAGACACTCTACAAAAAACAGCCACACTAGGACAAGGAAATCAGAAACTTGAAGCCTGGTTCACGATTGGTTCAAGACGAAGAGTTCCAGGAAAACCTGCGAAGAAATAATAATAAAAATAATCAGATACAAAAATGATTCTTTGTTAGGCCGGAAATAATGTTCGTATCAATTTACCTAGTTTGTTTCAGCGAAAATTCTTGAATCGAGTGATGGTTTATTTATAAGCATTTCTCTGATTACAGAAGTTTATTGAATCTTCGGTTACTTTCACTGTTAACGCGGTCATTTGGAATTTCAACTTCGTTTTTCGCCACCAGGTGACGATTCAGGCAGTCCTGTAATTTAGAAGTGAAATGGAGATATTACGTCGGTCGAGCGTTTGCCGGCGGCATCTGGCGTCGAGGCGCAACTGCGAGGTCGGTGTACGGCCAAGAAGGACGTTCGCCGCCTACCGTAGTCTTTCAGGGCGGCTTCGACGAATAAGAATCCCTCGTAGGCCTCTGCTCTTCAATCGACGAAATCTAGGAAAGTTGACAAGTCAGGATTCTCTAGAACGCTGCGAAATCCTTCGAAACAGCTTGCAAAGAATTCTTGTTAGTTTGACCCTCGTCTCAGTGACTTACCTCGGGGGATCGCCGTTTGTTTTCATACTTTGTAGTATTAGTCACGTGCAATTTCTCTTGTAATCCTTTTATCGTAGTAAACATTAGCTATTAGAACCTAGAAAGTTCAAGGCACTGCTAACCCAACTCTGTGACGTGCGCGCGCACGGGCTTTTGAATCACCCTGTATACATTTAAACAGTCAGATAGAAGGGCCTAATGTTTGGGCAGAAATCCTGAGGAGACCTTGGTATAGATGGGAGGATAATCTTAAAATTAATCGTAATGAAATATGTTGTGAAGATGTATTACGCGTTCGTCTGACTCTGAATGCGGACCACTGGTGAGCTGTTGTGAACACGGCGATGAACCCTCGGATTCTACAAATAAAGGGCCTCTTTAGACTAGCTGAGAAAGTATAAGAATTTCAGTTTGTATGGATTTAGGTATTTGACAGCGTTGTCTACATAGTGGGTTCGTGTTGGAGAAGGGCTACTTGGAAAACCGGGAGAGAAAGGGAAGGATAACATTGAGATTAATCTCAGAGATTGGACAAAGTCGTTCAGGATCGAGTCCAGTTTTGCGCTGTGATGTTACTGATGCTGAAGCTTTGGATTCCATCAGGCCTAGCAAACAGGTCCGACTTAGTTCAGCCCGAACAAGTACGGAGCGCATGCAGATGGAATGTAATCATGAAATGATGTTCATCCCTCATTGGCTGGCTCGTGGGGAAATCCCCACGCGCGGTTCACACGATGTAACTTCTCGCTGCAATATAGTTCACTCAAGTTCGTTCCAGAGGAGGACTCATTCACACTGAGTCGTTTCATAGTTTCTCAGGTCCGCGCAGATCCAGGATTTAATTTGTACTTTGATTATGGAACGTGTGATTATTAGTAAAATTTACACGTATGAATTATTACTGTGGAATTGGATTTTACAAGAACTTGTAGTTGTAAATTGTAGTTCATTAGTTCATAGTTTTGTGGGATGTGTCGTTTGGAGTGTTCCTCACGAGGGTCTATTGGCTGTAGCCCAGAAGACAGCCAACTTCGGACTCACCTACGAGAAAGCCTTATTGCCTACCAACATTAATAGCAGTTCGTAGCTTTTGTTTTCGGGGAGAGGTGACCGCTCAACTCCAACTCCCGAGTCCTCGAGTCGCGACCCACCGGTTGTCGCCTCATAGCAACAAGAAGAACCGACCAAGGCTGCAGTTACGTAATGCAAGCAAATCCTTGAGCGGCAGGACGTTCGCCCGCAGAGCCCGCGGCGGGCGCTGTTGCTACGCCCCCGCACGGGGCTAAGAGCATGAACACATCTCAGGGTCTTCTTGCTTCAGAAGCTGACGGTCGCCCAACTGGTGCTTGTTAAACCCGAAGGTTTATTTCCCGTGTTCACATGAGCCCGAAACTCGGCCCTGTCCTCATTCAGCGCAATTTGCGGAAGATCGTGTAAGTTAAAATGGTTGCCTCCATCTACTACTAGGTCCCCCAGATCATTCGGCCGTTTTCTTCATGAGGCGGCTGATTTGTTTCTCGCACGCGTGCTCTATCTCAGAATTCAGATGTCTCATCTTCGGTCAGTTAAGAGAAAAGAAAAATGTTCAGTTCTGATTGTCGGATTCACATTCCTTGTAGCCGTACCTAAAGTGCAATTGGCGCTGTACTAAATGTAATGGAGTATTAAAAAAATTGTTTTGTCATAAACGCGACTTAAAAATTTGATATTGGTGTGACGAGCACAAATGAATGCATTCGGTTCACAAAGAAAATACAATTTTAACAGAAACTGGGTGTAGCGTAAATATAATTTTATTTGTAAGAAGATTACTCCGAGTCCAATGTTACGTATTCAAATACATTAATGTTTGTTAAACTATGCTAGTTCAAGTCAAATGGGCGTGACCTTCGTGAGATGTCATCTTCACACCGGCCCGAAGCTGAGAGGCTGCAGTCAGCGCTTTGTCGCGTTAACAGGAACAATCTTAGTTTTCTCGGGTCATTTGTTGTTGTTAGCAATCAGCGCCAGATATGAGACTACGAGCACCCGTAGCTGGATATTCACTATTGAAAGGTAGAAGGAAAACTGAAGTATTTGTTGGGTAGATTCTTCTGATAGATTAGAATAGATAACTGAGTATTGGAGGCAACGAAAGGACCGCGTAGGAGCGCGGATAATAGACGCACTGGAGGAACGGCAAGATGATTTTGAGGCCTGTCTGTATCGTCGACTCGCGGAAGATGAGATGGGCGGAGCATATAGCACACATAAGAAATGCATACGGTTTATTAACAGGGAAACCGTAGGACCTAACCCTGGATGGGAAGATAATATTAAATGGACTTGAGAGAAATACAGGTGACCCTCGTTATACGCGCTTCTGTTATCCGCGGTTTTTCAGTATTATGATGCGCGTCGCGGCCACATTTTAAAGCTTGTTACCTGTTTCGAAACTTTTCCAAGCTTATTACGTGTTGTGACGCCAATGATAAGCTCAGCATAAGAAAATCTGTTGTCAGTTGACATCGAAATGAAGATTGTTTTATAGTGTTTGTTGACAAAATGTTAGAAAGAGGACAAGTCTGAAGCTGGGTGGGGCTTTTGACGGTTGACGGCTGTCTGTTGCAGGTACATCCACTCGAAGGAGAAGCCGTTCAAGTGTGGCGAGTGCGGGAAGGGGTTCTGCCAGTCCCGGACGCTGGCCGTACACAAGATCCTGCACATGGAGGAGTCCCCGCACAAGTGCCCGGTGTGCAGTCGCAGCTTCAACCAGCGCTCCAACCTCAAGACGCACCTCCTCACGCACACCGACATCAAGCCCTACAATTGCTCGGCCTGCGGAAAGGTGTTCCGGCGCAACTGCGACCTCAGGCGTCACGGCCTGACGCACAACCTCGGAGCGGCGTCGGCCTCCGCCACGACGCCGGGTACCTCCGGCCTGGCCCTCGTGTCTCCAAGCTTCACCATCGACTCCATCATGAGCGCGACCAACAAACAGAGCGAATGTACGGGACTGCCTCCGTGAGCCACGCGGCAGTCGCCAGAGGTCCTAGCGGGCGTAGTGGCCCGGTCTGCGCGCCGTAAGACTTTGTTGTGTTCCACAGTGCTGATATTATTCTGTGTGTGTGTTTTTTTACGTTTGTAATAAAATTATGCAATTCCACACGCGGTCTTTGCTTCAGTTCCTATTCTAAGCTGCAGCGGCGTGATGTAAGCTTGAAGGCACGACGATAATTCAGTTCCTTGTTGTTAATACTATTACTGCCTCGTCAGTTGCATTAGAATTACAGACACACCATAAAATAAAGAAAAAATAAAGTGGAGAAATCATCAGAAGTAACGATAAGCAAGCCATAAGGCTGTAGCATAAACCAGTTCATTCAGGGCTTCTGGTAAACAGCAGGAAGTAATGTCTGAAACCGATTCTATTGAGACCATTTGCTTGCTAAGTATTTCAAGTGTTTTGCAAACGGCATTTGAAACTGATGTGAATCTCACGGAAGAATAAGTTACGGGTAACAATCGAAAATTACACGGTGGAAAATCGGCGAAATTGTGAGTCGGGAGTTACAAATAATAAGAGCACATTTTAAAGTAATTACAAACACTAATTAACCAGTGGTTTGTAGGTAGCGCCTCTTACGTAAGTGCAATGTAGCTGGGGACACAAGAGTGTGTTAGGTTCATGGAACTTTCCGCTGGACGTGCTCAAGCCTTTTGGCGTCTGTAGTAGCAGCCAGCAGTAGTAGTAGTAGTAGTATCGGGCTGAAACTTAGCACAGGGCTCATTACTTTGTGACAAGACAAGGTAGTCATGAAGACTGCTCCATGATTATGAACCCTTATGAACGAAATTGGGATGTTTATTAGCGTGTTGATGAGGGGATAATATTAAAATGGATATTGAGGAAAGAGGGTGTGCAGGTATGGACGGTTGTGAACGAATGAGTCACAGCTGATCTTGGCTTCTCGAGGACTCTGTTCCGTTTAGCAAATGAGACGTTTCGTATCAATAGGCCTACATAAAGCAAATTTTGTTTGTTTGCTGAGATCTCGTTTTTTTCTGTTAATTGCCTGAAGACGCGTGCGATGCTTGTGACTGAATTTGGAAAGTGGAGAATTTTTATAAGCCGTAGATGTTAATTTTGCAAGGAGTTCCTGCGACCGTCGTGGTTTCGGCGCAAGACGCAGCAATTGAAGTGTGTCGCCAAGCAACTAGGCGTGTCTAAAGACACCCCGATGCTCTTTTGTGTGGGGTGCGCGGCGCGCGTGTGGTCCTCAACACCTCGTCTTGTGAGGCCGGAAGGCGTTGAGCTGTGCACAATACCTGGATTATCGCGACCACATCTTCCGACTTTGTGCTAAGATGACGGTCATGGTGACAGAACCTCTTGGAACCCGCTCGAGCAGCAGATGCAAGTATAATATTAAAGTGGATCGTCGAGCTATAGTTCGCAAAGGCTTTGTTATTAGGGGCCTGTCAATGAAACCGAAAGCTTTTATATTTGTTTGTTTCTCATCCTGATTGTTGTTCGTGCAAATGGCGCGACAGTCCCTGGCGTTTGTTTCGATTTGGGGTGCCGGAAGATTGCGGCCCTTCGTTGAATTTCACGCTGCGAACATTCAACTCAGGTTCCTCACATACATGAATGTAGACGGTTAACGGACTATAAAACTGAAATGTGTTAATTTCTGTGACAATGAGACTGACTGTTTTTCGAAATTCAATAAATTTTCCTTCCTCCTGGGCCCGCACGAGTTACAGCTGAGTTTAAACTACAAGAAATTTTTGAAATTTTGTGGCCTAAAGGGATCTGTCCCCGGAAATCTCAGGAGGACAGCTTGATCTTGATAAATGTGATTAAATTGTGAACAATAAAAGTGAAAAAAGTTGGACTTTGAACCCTATTTTCAATTTCTGCCCTATTCATACCCTATTTCGCATAGACAATTTGATTCTATCCAATTTATTCTACTATTTCTTCTCCATTTGAAGAGCCGCGTTGTTTGATACTGGATCTTAGATTATGGAAATAGTATCAACTGTGGGGTTTCCATCTCTCGCCACAAAATTGCTTTAGTACACACGAGTTTGCTAAGCTAGAGGATCGTTAAATGCGTGATCTGATATCGCAGTAGAAAATAACACAAAATTTCTGCAGGCAGGAAGTGACCCGCAAGATGTGATTCGGTGCCTCACGGAAATCGACAAGAAGCCCGGGGTCTTGCCGGCTGTCACCGGATATACTCGGTTGAGCTTCTGAGGCCTGTTTCCGATCGAGCCCTGTCCGGCTTGGAGCACCAGGTTTGGACCCCGTGCAGTAATTATCTTATTTACAGTTATGTAAATTTCTGGTTTCTCTCTCAAGCCGAGATTCCTAACCTCAGCGGTAAGCGAATCTCGAGGACCGAATTTTGGAGGTACCTGGTTCGACACTCGGCCAAGACTGTCTTTTCTTGTGGGTTCCTCAGTTTCTATACATTCGGGAATAACAAGGTAAAACAGACCATGAACGCCTCCTTCCACATTCCTTCCAGTCGCTCGTTCACATTCAGAACGATGTCTCTCGCAACTTCTGCAGATGGAACCGTAGCAAGTTAAGAAAGGAAAATCGCAAATGCCCCGAGCTTCAGAACTGACGATCCTTTCAAAAATTCTATTGCCTTCGTCTGACTGGCTCTAACGCGTTCACAGAATTTGTACCAAATATCAGTTCTGATTAAATGCTGATAGCATCACTAGTTGAAGACCTTGCCGTCGAACTGTCTGGGACAGGTCTTCAGCTGTCCCCCGTATTCCGATAGTCCTGGTTCAGATCTGGACACGGAGATCGGAAATATTGACTGAGTTTCTCAGGACCCCCCAGACAAATGCCTGGAGTTCTGCCTTAAATCATGCCACGACCACTTCTACGTTTTTCCAACTCGTTACGCATGAATTATCCTGGCATCTGACTTTTGTGTTACCAACTGAATGCGTAGGCTAGTCACGTGAAGTATGCAGTGTCGACGTCGCGTGCTTAAAGCGCTCCACTTATTTATGTACTTGATAACCGGAAAACATTGCCAGTTAAGCGAAGCGCTGAAAACGAGACGTAAAACATAACAGAATGTAATACAGTAAAATTATGTAAAGTAAGAGAGAAATGATGCCATTAAAGGAGGACTCGCGTGCGCAATGTAGATGTTTGAACAAAGATAATTTAAAAGGAAATTTGGTTACAAGTAATATTATAAGGGAAATATCTTACAAATGTTGCTGTGTGCTCACGTTCCATCGCCTTGCAATGCAAATGTAACGCACCGTTTATAGATTATGTCCGCCAATGGTTTGTATTGTGCAGTGTCCGAACGTCGGAATATTCTGCACGTTTCCTGGTGATCGTGTCGCATTCTGGCCTGGAAGTCAAATGCCCCGTCCTCACCCGAGAGAGGCGATGCAGTGATCTGCATTCCTACTCTGCAATCTTGAGGTCCTGGCTTCTAATTTCAGCCGGGATATCGACTCCTCCTCAAATTATACAGCTAAGTAATTTTGTATCTGGTTACTCCCACTTCAGGGAGCAAAATTCACTTTTTTCCCAAAAACAATCTCATAATTTTATATCACTTCAGATCTTAATGTATTTCATCAGTCTTTAAACAAACTCTACACCACCGACACAGTGAAACAGCAGAGAAAATTCAATGAATACGCCTACAAGAGGCGCAACTGTGGAACAGTCATTGAAAAGAAAAGTTATATGATAAGAAAATAAAGGCAGCTTTGCATTAGATTAGGTTAATGTGCTATTTCAACTTTTATGTTATAGTTATATTTTAATATGATGTGAAGCATTGAAGAGAAAAAGATATTATAAAGAGGCCTTCGAATTTAGATTTATTTGAAAGCAGGCGGGTTTTTTAAAATAACAATTTGAAAGGTGTTTTGTTTCGACGTTTAAAACTAAAATACCTTTCCATGTAATGAGAGTATTACAAAACTGTTGCTGGACCGTGGTCAATTTTAGGCGAGCCAAAGCCAGCCGGAGGGTGGACCTCCGCACGGAGACTTTTGCTAAATGAAACGCAAACTTTTCCTCGGCGACTCCTCAACTTCGGTCCTGGTGGTCAGCAGAAGTTTAACAGATGGTAGTGGTTCACCCCACAGACCACTTTTGTAATTTGTGTCCGAGATTGATACACCATCCGTGGCCCTGTACCGCCATTGGATGAAGGCAAAGTGACTTGTAGTTGGGCTTAGTCGTAGGGGCGCGACGTGGCCAGGCTGCTGCTTGCCTCCTATCGACGACGCCGTGTACCGCAGAGTGTCGAGAATTCTGATGGAAATAAAGAATAAATATGTTGGCATCCATGCTACTGGTTTCTGTGTAATAATATCTCTTCAGATCTATTAGTGTTATGAGTGTGGATTTGTATGACTGAATTTCGATGTGATTGGTTCACACTTCGTTACTGATACTACCAGTAATGTCATTTTGGGGGACCGAGCCTTTGTCACAGCTAAAAATACGAGAAATTGAGATAATTACTTGCGAAGAATCTTTAGAGCTTGTACTCTTCATCCGAAGTCATGTTTATTTGAATCGGAGGTGTTAAAATGAGTGGGACGTAAATGCAAAACAGGCCTAAGACGCCACTTGAAAAACCGAAACGGTGACCAAGGGAGGGTTTTTATTGTGACGGTGACGAACGTAGAGCAGCTGACGGTATTCGTTTCACTACCTTTAGTGTTCATTATTCAATTTGAAGCACGTTTTAATACGTTCCTGGAGACCTGACCCGGTAAATGCGCAGCGACAGATCGAAGGCGACGGTCCGGAAAGCAGATGCGAGCAGAAGCTCGCTGCTGACGCGTCTGCAAAGGATTTACGTAATCCAGACACAAAGCCGGCGGCATCTTGTTCTCACGGTTGCAACCGAGACCTGGTGCTGACACCACGAAATAAGGTCGAAATGAAATTAGTTGGCAGAGATCAAACTTGCGAGTACATTGGTATGACTTCCTCAGTACGGGTTCAGTTCGTAATTGAACACGAATATCGGAGTTTAAAGTTAAGGATCTCCAGAGGCCGCTAGCTGCTGTCATCTTCGTGGACAGAGTTGCAGGGCCCACAAAGTGTCCGGGGGGGGGGGGGGGGG